TCCGAGTCGTTTCGACCGCCGATCCGACTTCTCGATTCGATGTTGGGCTCTCCTGCAGTCTGGTGAGGGCTGAGTCCAGCGCAGCTCGGGGGCCCCGAGACGGTGTGGCAGGACTCGAGCTAGACGGTGCAGTGGCGATTTATTGAATTGTTCTCCTTTTGCTTCCGTTTTGCAGCAGAGGCGGAGCGGAGACAGAGCGATGGAAAACATAAGCATTTGGCGAAGGCATCTATACACCACCACCGTGCTATGTCCAGGGCCATCCTGGGCCAGAGGATGGTGTAGACGCCCTCCTGGCCGGGGCCAGGAGTGCGTATACACCATGCTGCCGGGGCCAGGATGTCCTTTGCCTGGCACAGTGGTGGTGTATATCACCGCCCACCAAACCACCCCAACCCAACCTGAAGGTCCCGATGTGGTCTCCATTTTCAGTGGGGGGGGTCGGGGAGCATTGAAAAAGCACACATGGAACCCATACCCCCCCAACCTAAAATTCGGGTCTTCGGGTCGGATTGGGGTGGTCTGGCAGGCAGTCGGCATGGATGCGAAATCGCTGTTAGGGTCGAGCCCTGCGGCGTGGCCACCCCGCCGTGAGATGAATCCGTTGGGATTCGGGGTTTCACCGCACCTTTTTGGGGCCTCGCTGGCCGCTCTCCGAGGACGCTTCGGGGCGGGCGTAGGGAAATGAAAAGTGGCATAAACATAAAAACTCGGAGGTCCGCGCGGATTTCTCGGATCGGCGCTGGGGCCCCCCGGCGGCGCCTCCGGCGCCGCCCCTGGCGCGCTCCGCGCGCCAGGTTTCGGGGTCCAGCGTCGATCCGAGAAATCCGCGCGGACCTCCGAGTTTTTATGTTTATGCCACTTTTTGTTCCCCTAGGGCGGGGCCTCCGAGGTCCCATGGCATCCGTGGGGCGGCGGGCGGCGCGGTCAGGTTCGCGGGGGGGGGGCCGTGGCCGCCGCTCGCTCTGTCACGGCACCGTTTTTGATTGGGGCCGCCCGGGCAGCGCGGTGGTTGGAACGCCGCTCCTCCCCCTCCCTCCCCCTCCTCTCCTCTCCTCCTCCTCCTCCTCCTCCTCCTCCTCCTCCTCCCTCCTCCTCCTCCCCCGCCTCCTCCTCCTCCTCCTCCTCCTCCTCCTCCTCCTCCTCCCTCCTCCCTGCCGCCGCTCTGGCACACAGCGTGCGAGGGGCGGCCGCGGCGCAGGCGGGCGGATGGCCCGCCGTGGCGCCACGCGCATCGCGATGGCGCGGCCCGTGGGCCAGTGGATCCTGCGGGTGCTGGGGTACAACCCGATGTTCTGCACGGGAGTTCGACTCCAAGAGGTCGCCATGTCTTGCAGCAGTATGGACGTGGTGATGTTAGCTGGCACGCAGGCTACGCATAGGAAAAATGAGGAAGTTCTCACTCGAAGGGTTGGGAAGAGGATCGTGCTGGAGGCCGAGGCGGGCGTGGGCAAGTTCACGAACAAGAGTACAGGCTGGGCCAAAAATTCAAGGAGCAGCATGTGTGCAGGACATGGCCGAGCCCCTCAGGTGCAGAGGGCCGCGCCCTGGCGGCGAGGGTTCGCCGCGGCCCTTTGGATATGGCAGCAATCGTGTTGTACTTCCCGCCGCAGCCCAGGCATGCTCGCTTGGTCCCGCACTAGAAAGGGACGGTCCGCATGTTGACGCAGTCGTACGAGGGAGTCTTACAACAACTACCATGCAGATGTACATCGTTGGTGTACGCAGACCTGAACGACGGCATGGGCGTCAGCAGGATCGCGGGCCAGTGGCAGCAAGTGGAGTCGCAGTCGATGGGGCCAGACCGAGCTCGAGAGCAACGACGTGGGGGCGCGGGCGAAATGATGAGGATGGTGAACGAGCGCCACCACATGTACATGATGAGTTCTCGTAGTCAGAAGTTGGAGCACACGTATTACAACGCGTCTGGACACAGCAGTTGCATCGACTACCTTTTTTTATCCCAGATGGCATGATTGATATGGCACAGAAGTTCTCCCCATTATTCAGTTTGGGAGCGGAGCTGCAGGCTTTCAAGGGGGGCCCGCCGAAGGACCACATCCCAGTCTACATGGAGCTACACGGCATGCAGGCAATTTGCACGGCGGAGACGCTTACGCCAGCACCAGAGCGCATGAAGTGGAATCAGGACGACCTTATGCAGTGTCTACGACGAGGGCATCGTCGAGTCGAGTTTCTTGAGAAGGTGGAAGCACGCCTGCATGAGACGGAAGATATGTGGAGGGCCATGCTGACCGACGGGAGACCAGACGAAATCTTTCTTCACTTGGAGGACGTGCTGGTAACGATCGGGCAACAGAAGTTTGGCCATGTCGTATCTAACGACCCAGAATACAGGCGAGCAGCGGCAGAAAGAACCGAGCTTCTGAAGAAAAAAAAAAAAAACACGGGCTCGACTACGACGGTCTAGACAGGACATGAAGGAGGATCCCACGGAGCTGAACGAGTGCGAGGAACAGCTGAAGAGGCTCAGTCAGCGCCTACGTCGAAAACGGCAGCAATTCGATCAGCAACGTCGCACCGCTCTATTGGGTGAGATTGACGAGGCGTGGCAGGCCCGTCGCCTTGCAGAGGCTATGAGGCTTTCGAGGCAGGCGGCGCGATGCCGCTTCGGCCCGAAGAGAAGGGACGGACGGCTCCTGAGGGGGGGGCACTTTGCAGAACAGGAGCTGCTCGACCACTGGGGCAAGAAGGCAGGGGCGGGGGCATGTCGGCTCGGAAGATCGTCTTTGAGGACTGGCTGAACGAATGCCCACCTGGCCCCACCCCCTACATCACGCCCGAGGACTGCGCGCTTGCTCAGAAGGACCAGTAGAGAATCAAGAAGTATTTCAGGAGTGCCAGTAAGAGACGAATGGTGCCAGCAGGGGCCCCGCCAGCTGAGATATGGTTGATGTGTGCGGACCCAGAGGCTAACATGGGCACCAAGGGGCACGGAGTAGGTTACGAGCAGGTAGTCCCTGAGATGAAGCTGTTTGGGAAGATTCTGGAGGGAGGCCTGCGGATCGTTCGGGCTACGAATCGAACCCCGCTTCGGTGGCACATCAGTTCTGGAGCACAACTTCGGAAAACGCCAAGCCAGGACCAGGGGGCCGCGGGGCGGTCCATGCATTGCCGACTGTTGGGAAAGCATTTTTTTTGTTTTACTCGGGCCTTGTGCGGGTTCCTCCCATGGTCACGGAGCGCGGCTTTTGGAAAGGCAGACGTCGCGCAGCTCCTCTGCTGGCGCCTGCGGCGCGCTGGACGTTCGTTCGCGTTTACATTTAAAGACATGTCCAACGTTTTCGCCAGCGGGGGCCGGGGGGAACTGGACCAGACGGTAGAGTTCCATGCAGAACCTCAGGACGTATTTTTGCGTGTTCAACGCTTTCGATGCAGGGTGATCTGGCTAGAGACCATGGAGGGGGGATGTACGTCAAGACGGGGGAAGGAGGAACGGTGGGAGACCCGTTTGTCGTGGAGCTCCTCCGTGGAACCTTTGCTCGGCCCATCCTGCAGTGGCTTCATCGCCTTAGAGATTTTGACAAGTCTGCTGCTGGTTTGGTTGCTAGTTGGAGAGATTTACGTGCGGACGTCGGTGGCTGCCTTTACGCCGACGATATCTTTCGAGCTCACGTGGCCCAACCTCACGGTACCGTGGGCAGTTTTTTATAACAAAAATCGGGTCCTGAAGCAGGCTGATGCGGCCCTCTCGGAGGAGCTGGATGCTATTGGGAATGCACAAAAAACATCGGGAAGCAGGAGGTTCAGCTTTGCTTTCAGGGAACTGGGGCCTTACAGTGTCAACAGTGGGCGAGGGGTCAGGGTCGAAAACAAATTGCAGGAGATCTTCAGGAGCATGTCAGGTACCTGGGCCCCAAAATTAATATGCTGCTATCTTCTTCAGTGGAGATCGGTCGTAGAATTCAAGCTACTGCCGAGGCGTACTATGCCTTGGGCCAGATATGGCCCCTGGAGCTGCCGTTCCGCTGGAAGCGGACCATGTTTCTGAGTTTCGCGCAGAATGCGGCGCTCACGGGTTTAGAACCAATGCTGCTCACCAATCGCCAATATCGTGAACTCGACTCGTTTCTGGCTCGCTATGGGAGGAGGGCATTACAAGGGAAGGCGACAACAAAGGTGGACGGGAAGATTCGGTCGTGGTCGGATAAGAAAGTGATGCAGCATTGGCGCCTCGCTAGTTCTGAAACGGAGTTGCTGGTCAGACGCTTGGGGTGGTACCGTACTTGGGCCCTATCGCCGAAGAGCCACAGCCAGGAGCTTTGCTTGTTGTTCGGGACCTTGGGCCTGGATGTGTGTGTGTGGGGGGGGGGGGGGGGCAACCGTTGCGCGACAGCACAGTTATTCCCAGTGTGGCATCTCCGTGGCCCCTTCGACTGCAGTCTGACTTTCGGCGTGCAGCAGATGCGCTTGACGAGGGCGACCTTTGCGCCCAGTTTGCTCGCTGTCCAGGCGATATAGTGAACGATGATTACCGTGAGTTCTGGACTCGCTTGGATTTTACGGAGATTCGTGCACGCGAGCTGGCAAAGGTGATCCCTCCTTCAGACCTCTACATGAAAGAAGCGCGGGGTACTCCAGGAGTACCTCTGGAGTCCCCTTGGAAGTGTGAATGGGTGTTGGGGGAGGGCATGGTGCGTGGGTGAGGGTTCCAGACCAAGAGGGACCTCATGAACCATGCGCGTCAACTCCATAAAGTGCACAATTTAGCTGCTACGCTGACACCTACAAACACGTGCATAGCGTGTAGGCGTGTATTCGCTAGCCAGGATAACGCTTACAAGCGCCTCCAGAGGGCCCTGATGAGTGGTAAGTGTCCGCTAAGGGGTTCGGCAACGCTCTCGGGAGTTAGGCCTCCACCGTCATTGGTATGCAGAGTATGCGGATATCACTCCAGCGATTTTGACAACTTATGCAGCCATTTGGTCGCAAGCCATCTTCCGTGTGAGGTGGACCCGTCCATATCACCTGCCCCAGAGGCAGATCTCGAAGCATTACCAACTCCTGGGCCAGCCGCTGCCCATGTCGGAGGTGGTGGCGATCGAGGATGTGCTGGGGCGCCCCGCGTGGCTGAGGGGCCCGTCGTCAGGCCCTGCGAGCAAAAAGGGCCGCGGTGGCGACGCAGGCGGCAGCATCGCCAGGGAGGAGGCGAAGAAGGCGGCGCGCGGGCAAGACGCGCTGGTCAAGCTGGTGCTCACCCTCGGCAAGCTCGCGCTCACGGACAGCCGCGCGCTGGCAGAGGTGTCGAGCACGGTGCGCCGCACGTGCGACATCTGCGCGCACACGGACTTCGCTTCGACCAACGAGAGCGCGGGGGCGGACTTCAACGACCAGTCGCAGGAGCTCAAGGCCAAGGCAAAGAAAGGGGAAGCCGTCGACTTCCAGAGTAGAGGACCGCCCTTCGTGACCATCTTCGCGACGACCATGCACTGGGCGGCCTCGCAGTACAACAAAGAAGGAGTGAAGCAAGAGCCGTGGATGGCCATTGCTCGAGAGTTCTACAAGGAGTACTTATGCAAGGCGTCGGCGGTACAAGTGGGAGAGCTGGCGCTGCATTGGCAATGGAAGCGCAACAAGAACAAGACGGATATCAACCCGAGGGGCAGGTTGATCATTGCATTCGACACGCAGCACCCAAAGTATGCGCAGCTGATGCGGATCATGGCGGCCCTGCTCGAGACGCTGAAGGCGGAGAGGCGTATCGGGCCCGCGCCGAGGGGCCCACTGGAGCGGGGCGCGTCGGAGCTGCTGGCGGAGTTCAAGTAGACGGGCGCAGCCCAGGCATAGTAAAAGGAGGTAGAGGTAGCAGCAGTAGCGGCAGCACTTTTTTACAATCAAGTAGGTTGCCCTTGAACAGCGGACCCGTGTTGGATTCCCGAGGTGTCAGTCACCAACATCCGCTGCGGGCGAGTGAAAGGCTGGCCGACCTAATTCGTAGGGGTTTAGTGTCTTCTGAAGTTTTGAACCCGCGCCCCCCCCGCTTTGCCCTCAGCTTACGGTTCTGGGGCGTCCAATACCCCGACCATCCAAAGAGAGGGGAGGCCTTCAAGGGCCAAGGGCAGGGGCAAGGGTAAGAAGGGTTTTCGGTAGCACTCTCACTGGTCCCCAAGAGCGGGCCCTCCGTAGGCTGCGTGCCGTCCAGGGGGTGCTCGTAGGGGCGGTGCGGCGTCCGTCGTGAGCCACGGGCCGCATCTGACGGTTTGGCGAAGCACGATTCGCCCCCCAGAGTTCCCCTAACTGTGAAGGTAGGCGGTGTAGGCAGGCGTCTAACGGTTGCAGTTGAACTCCCACGGGCCCAAACCCAATCCAATCCTTCTCCTCCTCCTCCTCCTCCTTCCCCGCCTCCTCCTCCTCCTCTGGCAGTCCCCTCCCCCCTCTCTCCTCCCCTCCTCCTCCTCCATCCTCATCCTTCTCCTCCTCCTCCTCCTTCTCCTCCTTCTCTCCTCCTCTCCTCGTCCTTCTCCTCCTCCTCCTCCTCTTTCTCCACCTCCTCCTCCTCCTCCTCCTCCTCCTCCTCCTCCCCTCTTCTCTGGACGTCCCTCCTCTCCCTCCTTCCTCTTCTCTTCTCAGGGTAGGGTACGGAAACAAGGGGGACAACGACACACAGCGGTTCCTGCCCATGTTGAATTTGCTTCGCTGTCGGAGTCGCCGCGGACGTTGCCCATTTGAAGCCCAAAGTCGCCTGCCCAGTCGCCTGCCCAACAGCGGCCGCTGTTGGTTTAGGGCACAGCATTCGCGCCTGTATGCCCTGCCCATGCCGGGCGTCGCGAATACCCTCCGTTTTGATATTCACATGACATCCTGCGCCCCTCACCCCACCCAGCGTCTGAGCCCTGCTCACCTGACTCCTCGAGGTGGGGGGGGGGCGCCCACGACCACCAGGCAGCGGCGCCTGAGCACAAAACCTCGGCGCGCCGCCCTGCTCCCCATGTGTAGTAATTCCTTCTCTCCTTCATGCTGAGACGGGTGTTGACAGAAGTCGTCCCGGCCAAGCTGTCACCAGGGCTGCCAGAGAAGCCTTGGTGGCCCCTGATGGCCCGACAAGAGGCCTGGAAGTGACGTGCGAGGCTCCAGCAGAATGGTCCGGCATCCCGGCACACACTTGGCCTGGCATTTTTTCTGTCAACAGCCAGCATTCAATCGGGGAGGGGGGGGGGGGGGTCGACCTTGCCTTCCTCAGTCCATGAATCCTCCTCTATTGCCCCCTCGTTTCCGTCGTCGCTCGCGAGGAAGGGACGCGCAGCAGGGAAAAAGGAAGGATGAGGAGGAGGAGGAGAAGGAGGAGGAGGGGGAGGGAAATGATGCACGAACACGAAGATGAGGACGAGTCCGCAGATGGGGGGAGGGACGAGGAGGAGGGGGAGGAGAAGGTGGAGAAGGATGGTGACTTCAGTACCTCCCCTAAGCCCCTTGCTTTGCCCCTCAGCTCCTGACTCCTCCGCCTGGCCTCTCCCCAACCTTAATTCAACACGCCTGTGTGTTTCACTTGAAATCCCACGAGTTTAACACGCCACTTCCATATACGAATCTGCCGGTTGCTGTCCACTCCGCTCGGCAGTGCACGGGCAAGGAGAGATGCGGGCCCATAGTCGTGTCTTACTTGCCTCCCCAACCTTCCCTCCTGCCTCTTGTCCCCCCCTCCCTCCTCGAGATGCGAGGGGAAGGGATGGGGGGGGGGATGATGTTGATAGCTGGTATGGTGATGGTGATAGTGACGATGATGCTGATGCTGCTAATGATAATGCTGCTGCTGGTGAGGATGAGGATCGTGATGGTGATGGGGATAATGTTGACGTTGATGGGTATGGTGATGTTGATGTTAATGATGGCGCTGGCTGATGTTGATGCTGATGATGGCACTGATGCTGGTCATGACGCTGATGATGACGTGGATGATGATGATGATACTGACGAGGAGGATGATGCTGCTGACGATGATTATGGTGCTGATGATAGTTTCGATGCGCTGATGATGAGGATGACGATGTTGATGCTGAATTTCTGGACCGAATGATGATTATGATGAGGGTGTGTGGATGACGTCGACGACAGTGATGATGATTGTGCTGATGGTGAGCATGTGGATGATCATATGGGATGATTTGATATGCTGAGATGTTGCGAATGGTGATGGTGGCATCATGATGCTGATGATGCTGATGCTCGTCATCATCGTCATGATGGGGTTGACGACGAAATCGGCCGCGCCAACGACGTCGAAGGCGTTTTCGACTACTACGACGACGACGATCATGATGATGGTGTGGTGGTTGTGGCGATGATGATGAGGATGAGGATGAGGATGAGGATGAGGATGGGGATGGGGATGAGGATGATGATGATGATGATGATGCTGATGCTGATGCTGATGCTGATGCTGATGCTGATGCTGATGATGATGATGATGATGATGATGATGATGATGATGATGCTGATGATGATTGTGGTGGTGGTTATGATGACAACGATGCAAGGGCCGCCACGAAGGCGCCAAGGCATGCGATTCCTCGTCTTTGCCCTCGTGGTCCTCTTCCCTCCGGGGGAGGTGGCGCGAGGGCGCGAAGCCACCACGTTTTCGCGCTTCCGCTGCCTTCGTTCCCCTTTCCTTGTCTTTCCTCGTCCTCCTCGGTCTTGCCTTCCCCCCCTCGTCACGCTTTCCTCCCCCTCTTCCCTGCCTTTCCCTTGCTTTCCTTGCCTTCCACTGCTTTTAGCCTTCAAAGCAACTTGCGCGTGGTATTCAATTCCGCTTGTTTCAGCGGGCATGCAGACGCGCCGACCTGCATGCTGCCGCGCACGTCCATGGGCTGCCCGCAGCTTACGACTCCACAGCAGATTGCGAACTTTGCTGACCTAGGGGAAGGCTGTAGGCGAAATCCATACTCTGGACAGGGTGCTTATCAAGAGGGGGCGATTCACCTTCCGACTGAGATTGCCCAGTTCCCCCCCCCCCCGTTCTCCCCTTGCTCTTCCTCCTCCTCCTCCTCCAACCCTCACTCCACCCGGTCCCGTTCCGACAGCACGTGCCCCACCCCCCCAGCGGATTCACGGGGAGGGCGACTATTGCCCCATGCAGAGCAGCCGTACAGTCGGGGCGTTGAAGAAGGAACCCTTTGCGTTGGGGAGGGGCTCGGTGTTCCTTCATTGTTCCACACCCTGCCCGAGGTTTTCCTCAAGTTGTCGAGGGGAAGTCGAAGTGAAACTTATGGCAAAAAGGGGCCTCGTTCCTGGTTTAGGGTTCCTTAGGTCACTTGGCATCGCTCGGACGTGTGCAGTTTTCTTTCGGCGAGGACCATCGAGGAGCATCCTTGATCATTTGGCGAAAAAGCCACGCACGAAACCGACAAAAAACACAGGCAATGGACGTCCGGGCGATGGCGAGTTTAGGGTTCCTTAGGTCAGCGCCCCGACCGTGTCCGCGGCCTCGCGGGCCGAGCCCCTCGGCCGCCATCCTCGAGGACACGGGGCGTCTCTTCCGCGGAGGCCCCGCACGGAGCGTGCCCACGCGACCGCGCATGGCCGCGGGATCGCGCGCCGGAGTCCAGCCTTCCGACTACCGGGGCACCGAAGGGGCGCCCCTTAGATTTACGTCGGGCCTGTCCCCCGACAGGAGGAACATCCCAAAACAGTCGAACAAATAGTTTGGGGACCATTTGTTGGCTATGTTTGGGCATCTTTAGAGTATGTTTTGGGTCTTTCTTCCAAAGTCCCCCTGTAGGGGGGCAGGCCCGATTTAACCTTAGATCTGGCGTTGCAGCAAAAACTGCAACGCCGCAAAACAAAAAACACGGAGCCCCGAACCTCATCTTGCTGCGCCATTCTTCGAGGCGGATCGATCTGCGAGGGCCCCGGGGTCCGCAGCCCGATGCACCGCAGAGGTCGCCGAGGCATCGGCGATGCATCGGCGAGGCATCGGCGAGGTATCGGCGATGCGGCCGGATCCTCCGACCCCATCTATCTCGACCTCATCTATCAGAGAAGGAAAGAGTACCCATACCTCTACCCCCTCGCCCGTTTTCCTCTTTTTGGGCCTCCTTGGAGGCCCTCGTCGCCACCGCTGGATTCGCCTCAAAATTCTGGTCAGAACGCACCCCGGAAGAGGTCCAGGGGGTAGCGGTATCGGTACTTTTTGGTTTCCCGGATCTAGATGGTTTCCGGCGCCGCCGCTAGTGCGTTCCGCGCGCTAGGGAGGGGGGCCCAGCGCAGATCCAAGAAGTCCGCGCGGAGCGCCGAAAGTCTATGTGTCCCCATCGATCATTGAAAGTAGGCATTTGGGGATTCCCAGTTCTCAGCCTACTTGAGCAGCCTTCCTACTTCAAGAGTCGAGTGGTTTGCCCTCTTCTCCTCTTCAGGAGGCGGGCGGAGACCCGATCTGCTCCCAACGCTTTTCTACCTCATGGTCCTGCCTACTACTTCCGACCGATGAGTCCGGCGTTTCTTTTCTTCTTCCATTGAAGCGCCAGGCTCTTGGTGGAGGGTTTCTCCGAAGGGCTTAGGCGACCCGTCCTCCTCCTCCTCCTGCTCCTCCTCGTCCTCCTCCTCGTCCGTCCTCCTCCTCCCTCCTCCTCCTCCTCCTCCTCCTCCTCCCTCCTCCTCCTTCCTCCTCCTCCTCCTCCTCCTCCTCCTCCTCCTCCTCCCCCTCCTCCTCCCCTCCTCTCCTCCTCCTCCTCCTCCTCCTCCTCCGCCTCCTCCTCCTCCTCCGCCTCCTCCCCCTCCCCCTGCTCCTACTCTTCCTCCTCCTCGTCCTCGGGTCGCCCACGGCCCTGGGGGCAACCGTGCAGCTCTCGGGCGTCCCCGCCGCCAGGCAGCCGTCGCGGCGACCACGCTCGCCGCCGTGCCCCGGCGGCGCGCGCCTTGCGGCGGCGCGGCTCCCGGCGGGCGCCGCCCCGCGGGCCTCGGCGGGCAGCCCCAGGCCCGCTCTCGCCGCGCCGCCCGGCGCGCCCCGTCAGAGGAGGGCGCGCTGCGGCAACGGCAGGGAGGGGGAGGAGGAGGAGGAGGAGGAGGAGGAGGAGGAGGAGCAGGAGGAGGACGAAAAGGAACGAGCCCCGGATCCTTCTAGGCCTCCTAGATGGGGTCGGAGGAGATGGGATCGGAGGACCCCGCCGCATCGCCGATGCATCGACGATGCGCACTGCGTCAACGGCAGGGAGGAGGTTGAGTAGGATCGAAGCAGAACAAAATCGTCATAAACAAAGCCTGTTGGCGTTCCGCGCAGATTTTTGTTGGATGGGCGGGGCCCCCCCAGCGGCGCTTCCGGCGCCGCCCCTGGCGCGCTCCGCGCGCCAAGGGGCGGAGTCCGGCGCAGATCCAGGACACCCGCGCGGACCGCAAAAAATAATATATGTGTGTTTACAGTCAAGGCGCTGAAGAAGGAACCCTTTGCGTTGGAGAGGGGCTCTGTGTTCCTTGAGTGCTTTGCACTTTGCCTTTGAGGTTTTCCATGGGAAATCGCTGTTTAACCTACTGGGAAGAGGGGACTCGTTCCTTGTTTAGGGTTCCTTAGGTCAACGCCCCGACTGTATTGTTTTGCTCTTCTAAGGGAGGAGGACGAGGAGAAGCGAGCCCCGAGATCTGGGGGTGCACTGCTGTGCCACACTGGGCGGCGTCGCCCGGCCTCGGGCCCTGGGGCCCTCAGAGACCGATCTGGCTGGGAGAGTGCGGCAGCCAGGTGGGGTGCAGCCAGGGCTGCAGTCGTGTGCTGTGGATGCTGCATTTTTGTTCGCCACGCCCGATCTCAGGGAGGGATGGAGTAGCCGCGGCCCCCGGATGATAAATCAGACCCCCCCCCCACCACCTCCCCCCCTGCCAGTTTTTATTACCCCCGGCCAGTGCAGATTTTGGTCGCAGGCGAGACGGGCGGCAAGGCCGAACTCATGATCTCAGGCCGGGCGAAAGGGGGTGATTGGGCAAGGCGGGGTTGCGAAATTAGCTGCATGCAGCTGGTTTGGCCTCACCGAGGGGCCCACTCCTTGATACATTTTGCGTCCGGCGCCGTGAAAATTAGCTATATGCAAGCTGATTCTCAAACCCCCCCTTTTGCTATCCCCCCCTTTTGCCCGACCCGATGATCGCACGAGGAAGAGCACGAGAACGGCCTTCGATTCGAAGTCGGCTTCTCTGCCACGGCTTGGCGTGCAACGGCGCTTGGGGCGCGCAGGCGGCCCCCCCAGCTGCCAAACAACTTGCGAGCGTTTTTGCCCCTTTCTTGGCGCGACCAACCGCCACGCCGAGAGGTATTGGCACTGCAGGACAGGGCTAGACCTAGATTTCGTCGTGTCTTGTTTTTCCGATTCGGCAGGGGAGGTACAGGAACTGGTTGGCCAAAACGCCACGCAAAACGAGCACAACACGAAACACAATGCTTCGGTCCAGCCGCGCTGCAGGAGGAAACGGTGGAGGAGGAGGAGGAGGAGGAGGAGGAGGAGGAGGAGGAGGAGAAGGCATGAATGGGGCATGAGACCAGTGCCTTGCGATGCTGGGTCGGCAGGCCTGTGGAGTGAGGCGAGCGAAGGGGGGACGAGGAGGAGGAGCGAGGAGGATGAGGATGAGGAGGAGGAGGAGGAGGAGGAGGAGCGAGGAGGGAAAAGCGAGGAGGGAGAAGCGAGGAGGAGGAGGAGCGAGGCAGGAAGAGCGAGGAGGAGGAGGAGCGAGGAGGAGGAGGAGCGAGGAGGAGGAGGAGAAGAGGGGAAGAGGAGAAGAGGAGAAGAGAAGGAGGAGGAGGAGCGAGGAGGAGGAGGAGGAGGAGGAGGAGCGAGGAGGAGGAGGAGCGAGAAGGAGGAGGGGGTCCCCCCAGCAGATGAGGGAGGGGCCGGGGCCTCCCACCCCGCCCCGGCAGGCCTGCGAGCGACGGGCCGACCGACGAGGTGGCCCGCCGCAGACGGGCGCTGCTTGACCGGGAGGCCCTTGGGCTCACGTCGCTCGGGGGCGGCAAAGTGGGGGGTGATGACTAGGGGGGGTGGATATCATGGCTGGGGCCATGATGTTGCCCCAGATTTCATGGCGCCTCTTCTTGCTTCATTACGTCCCTGGCCCCCCTGCTGGGCCGCGCACATGCCGCCGGTCATGATTTGCACCGCCCCCTCTTGGACACCCCCCTCTTGGCCGCTCCCGAGTCGCCGTCGCCGTCGTCGATTTTTGTCTCAGCAATTGCGGCCGGAAGGGGTACGAGAAGAAGGGGTCGGGGCTCAAGAGACGGGGGTCCATGCAAACGGGAGCTTGTTTTGTTCGCAATTGTCTGCCTCCGGGGGCCCTGGCCGGGCCTCGGGACCGTCAGAAAACGACTCAGGATGAAAAACTGGGGAAGGGGTCCAGGTCGACTTTGTGGACGTTGTGAAACAGTCACGACGTCGGGGGTCTGCACGGGGGTCAGTGCGAGCAGGGGTCAGTCAGAGCGCAGGAGGGGTCAGTGCGAGCAGGGGTCAGTGCGAGCAGGGGCGCACTGGCCCAGGCTTGGGCGCAGGATCCTGCAGTTTCCTGCAGGATTTTGCAGGATACCGGGGTCTGGACTGACCCGGGTCAGAAGATCCCCGACTGGGGACGAAGACAGACAGCAGTGCTTGCCCGTGTTGTGCATGCCTCGCTGTCGGTATCGCCGCGGCCGTCGTCGTCCATTTGAGATACATGCTCGCCCGCCCAACGGCGGCCGCTGTCGGTTTTGAGCAACATTTGTTGCTTGGTATCGTACCCAGGTTGTCCGTACCAGCTGCGAGCGTGCCTGTCGTTTATGCTAAGTTATCGTGTTGTTTGATGATGTTCATTTAGTTGTTTTTGGCGGGGCCCGGCTGTTCGGAAGCTCCCCGGGGTCTCCGTCGTCCCGTTGCCGATTGGCCGCCCACGGGGGCCAGGGGCCAGGCGCCAGTCTCGGCCGGGGGCCAGGGGCCAGGAGCCAATCTTTGGCCAGGGGGCCCACCGACTGCGGGTTTGTCTTCCCGCCCGCGCCCTCCCGCCCCCCACTCACTATATGGGGGGAAAAGTCGTGCCTGGGTCCCGGGCCCCAGGCAGACACCAGGCCCTGGGCCCCAGACAGCGGGCCCCGAGCACCAGGCCCCTGACACGGGACGCAAGGCCTCGGCCTCCTCGCGTTCCTCCTCGCAGCCTCCTGAGCGCTCCTCCCTCTCGCTGCCAGCATTCCCAATTCTAGGAAGAACCGTCCGTTCGCTCCCGCCTTCCTCTGTCACCGTTCCCCACGATGGAGGAGGCGAGGAGACGAGGAGGCAGCATCAGCAGCAGGATGATGGGAGGAGTGGTATGGTGCTGGTGATGAGGACGCTGCTGATGATGCTGCTGATGATGATGATGATGATGATAATGATGATGATGATGATGACGAGGATGGTGGTGATGATGATGGTGATGATGATGATGATGATTATGATGATGATGACGATTATGATTATGATGATGATGAAGACGAGAAGGAGGAGGAGGACGAGGATGTGGATGAGGATGAGGATGATGATGATGATGATGATGACGATGGTGATAATGATGAGGAGGATGAGGAGGAGGATGAGGATATTGATGATGATGATGTGGATGTGGATGAGGATTAGGATGAGGATGAGGATGCTGCTGATGCTGTCGATGATAAAGATGGTGATGATGAGGAGGAGGAGGAGGAGCAGCATGACGATGATGATGATACTGAGAATGATGATGCTTATGATGAAGATGACGATGCATGTGATGATGATAAAGACGATGTTGAGGATGCTGACGACGGTGGTGATGAAGATATTGCTGATGATGTTGATGATGATGCTGATGATGATGCCGATGCTGATGCTGATGATGATGATATGGTGATGCTGATAATAATGATGATGTTGTTCATGATGATGATGAGTTTGATGATGAGGATTAATCTGGATAAGAATATGTTAATGCTGCTGATGATGTTGTTGATGATGAAAATGATGATGATGGTGCTGATGATGATGGTGGTGCTGATGATGATGATGATGATGATGCTGATGATGATTATGATGCTCATGATGCTCATGATTATCATGATGCTGATACTGCTGTTGATGATGATGCTGCTGATGATGATGATGATGATGATGATGATGATGAGGAGGAGGGGGAGATGATGATGATGCACCTCTCAGGGGCGGCGTCAGTTTGCTTCGAGGTCTCCGAAGCGATCTGGTGGTCTGGTGGTTTGGTGGTAGACGTCCCCCTCCCTCCACACGGGCCCGCACGGCATGTGCGGCACAGCCCCCCTGGCCTGCCAGTCAAGCCCTTCCCCAATATCAAAGATTTGAAGCCCTTGTAGAGCTAGACGTGCCCTTGCCTGATCACAGGCCCCCTCCGCCTCTTGCACAGGGCCCCCTGGGCTAGGCAAGGCCCTTCCACAGGCCGATCAAGAGCTTATTCAGTAGTACTGGACGTCCCCCTCCTCTGGCACGGGCTCCCTCTGCTGCATAGCACCCGATCCCAGACCAGCTGCCTGGCACAAATCCGTGGTCCCGCTCCCTGCTTCTGCGAAGTGCCCTCCACTGGGCGAGGCCCCTCCCGAAGCTGCCCACGAACAGCTGCGTGGTGCCCGGCGTGCCCCTCCCGCACAGAGGCCCCCTTCTGCTGCACAGCGCCCCCCCGCTGGACGAGGCCCCTCCCCACGCCGCTGCAACGCGCTCCTCGGCGCTGGCCGTGCTCCCCTCTCCCCCCCTTTGCACAGGCACCTCCCGCTGCGCAGCCCCCTCTGCTCGACGGGGCCCCTCCCGAAGCTCGGGGGCAGCAAAGAGGGGGGGGGGGGGATGACTAGGGGGGGTGGATATCATGGCGTGGGCCATGACTTTTTCCCCGTATTTCATGGCGCCTCTTCTTATTTCTTTACGTTCCTGGCCCCCCCGCTGGGCCGCGCAGATGCCGCCGGTCATGATTTGCACCCCCCCTCTTGGACTCCCCCCTCGTGGCCGCTCCCGAGAAGCAAGCTCGAAAAGCGAGCCGACGGGTGCGAGGCGCCCCCTGTTCTTCTGCGAGGGGTCCCCGCTGCTGCACGGCAGCCTCTGCTGGGGCTTGGCATCGCTCGGACGCGTGCATTGTTCCTTCGGCGAGGACCATCGAGGAGCAGCCTTGATGCTTTGGCGAAAAGGCCACGCGCGAAGCCGACAAAAAGCACAGGGAGTGGACGTCTGAGCGATGCCCAGGGGGGGTGGCACGCCCCTCCCCCGAAGCAGATCCAGGGATCCGTTCCGCACGGGTCGCCCCCTGTGCCTTCCTCAAGGGCTCCCACGAGGGCGCGAAGTTATTCGCGCTTCGCGCTTCGCGGTCCTCGCTCCTTCTCCCCCTCCTCCTCGTCCTCCTTTTCTCCCTCTGGGGGGGCGGCGCGAGAGCGCGAAGTTATTCGCGTTTCGCGCTTCGCGGAGCGCGAAGCGCGAAGTTGGGAGCCGTGCCTTCCTCCTCGCCTCGTCGGCGCGCGGCTCGAGGGCGCGGCGCGGCGCCGGGCCGTGCCGCGGGCCCGTGTGCCGGGGCCCTGCAGACGCAGGCCGCCGCGTCAGATCCCTCCGCATCCCGCCTGCAGCGGCTCAGAGCCCCGAATCATCAGGGGTAACTCGGGTCAGGGCTATCTCGGGTTCGTTTTTCGGGAATCCGAACCCGAGTTATCCCGGACCCGAGTTACCCCGGATAACTCGGGCGGCCAGAGCCCCAGAATCATCAGGGGTAACTCGGGTCAGGGATAACTCGGGTTCCTTTTTCGGGAATCCGAACCCGAGTTATCCCGGACCCGAGTTACCCCGGATAACTCGGGCGTCCAGAGCCCCGAATCATCAGGGATAACTCGGGTCAGGGATAACTCGGGTTCGTTTTTCGGGAACCCAAACCCGAGTTACCCCGGACCCGAGTTACCCCGGATAACTCGGCGCCCAAGTCAGGGCGCGCCTCCCCAGGGCCGACTCGGCCCCATCCTCTGTGCGATCCCTCAGCATCCCGCCTGCAGCGGCCCCGCGTTTCTCGGTCAGGGCGCGCCTCCCCAGGGCCGACTCGGCCCCATCCTTGGTGCGATCCCTCAGCATCCCTCCTGCAGAGGCCCCGCGTGTCTCGGTCAGGGCGCGCCTCCCCAGGCTGACTCGGCCCCATCCTTGGTGCGATCCCTCAGAATCCCTCCTGCAGAGGCCCCCTTGTCTCGGTCAGGGCGCGCCTCCCCAGGGCCGACTCGGCCACATCCTTAGTGCGATCCCTCAGCATCCCGCCTGCAGCGGCCCCGCTTGTCTCGGTCAGGGCGCGCCTCCCCAGGGCCGACTCGGCCACATCCTTGGTGCGATCCCTCAGCATCCCGCCTGCAGAGGCCCCGCGTGTCTCGGTCAGGGCGCGCCTCCCCAGGCTGACTCGGCCCCATCCTTGGTGCGATCCCTCAGAATCCCTCCTGCAGAGGCCCCCTTGTCTCGGTCAGGGCGCGCCTCCCCAGGGCCGACTCGGCCACATCCTTAGTGCGATCCCTCAGCATCCCGCCTGCAGCGGCCCCGCTTGTCTCGGTCAGGGCGCGCCTCCCCAGGGCCGACTCGGCCACATCCTTGGTGCGATCCCTCAGCATCCCGCCTGCAGAGGCCCCGCTTGTCTCGGTCAGGGCGCGCCTCCCCAGGGCCGACTCGGCCCCATCCTTGGTGCGATCCCTCCGCATCCCGCCTGCAGAGGCCCCGCGTTTCTCGGTCAGGGCGCGCCTCCCCAGGGCGACTCGGCCCCATCCTTGGTCGGCCCCATCTTTGTGCGCCTCAGCATCCCGCCTGCAGGGCCCCGCTTGTCTCGGTCTCCCCAGGGCCGACTCGGCATCCCGCTCGCGCCTCGCTCGAGACTCGGCCCCATCCGGTGATTCCCTCAGCATCCCCTGCAGAGCCCCGCGTTGTCTCGGTCAGGGCGCGCCTCCCCAGGGCCGACTCGGCCCCATCCTTGGTGCGAT